ACACACACACACACACACACACACACACACACACACACACACACACTTAAATGTAGGTAAATGTGTTTCCACCAGATATATCTGATATCTGTTTCACTGAGGCACCTCCTGCTCTTCTTCTTTCCTCTCAACTCCTCCTCCAGGACACGTCGGTGCAGGAGGAGGTGGAGATGATGGTGGAGTCCCTGTTGGACGTCCTCCTGCAGACGCTGCTGTCAATCATGAGCAAGAGCCAATCGCAGGAGGCGGTAAGGGGTCAACGCTGTCCGCAGTGCACCGCGGAGATCACTGTTAGTAACTAACAATACGACTACTACGACTTCACCTCCTGCATCCCGCCTCCTCCCCCCTCCATCCACCTCAGGGCTGGGCAATGTTTTAATGATTAAAGTTCCCTTATACTATCGTAACGTTTCAAAATCCTCGTTCACAGTTCTCACGTTAGATCTTATTTTCTGTCACAAGGTGGGAGTTGTAATAATAATAATGATTTTGTTCCGTTGTACTAATTTAATACTTGTAAATATAAATAAAGTTAACAATGTGATAATAATTGCCCTCCCCAAATCCATCCATCCTGTCGCTGACGCATCTGTCCTCCAGCATCCTGTTAGCGCTCTCATTAAACATCAGTCTTCATCCTCCTGCTGCTCCTCCTCCTCTCTGTCTGCATGCTTGCATGGATCAGCAATTCATATTAAAGCTCATCTTTACTTCCTGTGTTTGTTATATTGTAGAGCTGTATGAGACATGTGTACTCAGTCAGGTTTACTTCTTTCTCTGTTTCATATGCAAACTCAAGACATTTCTTAGTGATTGATTGTTACATGATGACATCATTCTTCATCTTTGGTTTAATCTCAGTCAGCTCCTACTTGCACCTCCTTCTGCATGTTCACAAGGAGGCTTCGCCGAACAGAGAGCTGCAGGATGACGTGTTTCTGGAGTCCAACAGGAAGTCATCATTATTGGTTCCCTCCACAAACAGCCAATCAGATTCTTCCATGTGATTCTGATTATTACATAACATAATGTTGTTTATGATTCTTCCAGGTTTAGTTCATCAAGATAATCTTCACTACTGAACTCCACTCTGTTGATGTAGTAAAGTAAAAAGCTAACATTAGTCTATAAAAGAACTCCACCACGGTCACATGACTTCACGTCTCCACCACTAAGCTAAAGGAGGACTGGTGTCCTAGTGAGGACGTTTAGTCGTCTCAGTTACACTCTTTTTAGGATTCACCAGAGGGGCGTTCACTGACCTGTTTATATATCAGAGAACTACATCTCGACACCTCTTCAGCTTCTGTTAAACACAGACCTTATTTCAGACTTCTGACCAGAAACACATGACTTGTAGAAGTGGAGGGGACAGGAAGTGAAAAGATGCTTTTAGGGTTCACTCCTGCAGCTCTCTATTCTGGGCTTCATTTCCTCCAGCTGGTGTTCAGAGGAAAATCAACCATCCAACAGGAAGTCCACTCTACTGTCTTCACGACCACTGATTGGAAGCTCAAGTGACAGATAACAAAACTAAGATCAAAGATTAACAAAGTTAAATTCCATTTTTCCGCTTCATAAACATTATTCTGTTCATGCACATAAACGCATCGCTACATTTTCCTTCCACTGACTTTCATTGGTGTGTTTAAAACTTCAGAATGAAAGTGAAGTAAAAGGAACCGACCTGTTTGATTTGTCTTCTACCACATTTACATTAAAGAAAATAAACCATCACAGCAGATTGTTTTTAACCATCCCGGTATCATGGCACGTCGTGAAATAGTCACGAAATGCAATCTATTGGTTTAGTGGACAGAGACACGAAATGTCTGTTTTTTTTTCGTGTTGCTCAGGATGAAAATAATGTCAACGGAAATTCAATTAGGATCCTTATTCATAGACACACAACATAAATGCATCAGTCAGAGCAACGTCCGTACTTTATAAAATCCAAAAAGACGACTATTGGTGGAAACAAGGGGAGGTGGATGAGTCCAACAAACTAAGACCACCCAGAAGACTAGTGTTTCACACCACATTGTTGTTTTTATGGTGGTGGGTTTGTTGCCTAAACTTAACTTTTGTTTTTAAAGTTGTGCCAAATGACACGAAAAACCAATAGATTGCATTTGGAGACTATTTCACAAACTGCTGGGAGTTGTTTTAACAGTAGGTGACAGACAGTCGGCTCACATCATGCACAGTTACAGGCAAGTGAATAGGGATCAGTTTGGAAAAGAGCCTTTTATTAATCTGCTGTCATCATCTCTGATTGGTCGCCTCCTGATAGCTGCTCCCATGTGATTGGCTCTCATGCCTTTCCCCCCTGTTTCCTATTGGCAGGGAGAGTACGTGTCCTGCCTCCTGTCCCTCCTCCGCCAGATGACGGACATCCACTTCCAGCACCTGATGGAAAACTTTCAGAGCAAAGAGGAGCTCAAGGTAAAACTACTTCACGTCCCTGTGCAGCATGACAACAAGACTGAGGTCAACTCCGGCCTCTTGAATAAAAGCCTCCTCCCTCCTCTTCCTCTCCTCAGGAGTTCTTGTTGAAGATTTTGTGTGTGTTCAGGAATCTGATGAAGCTCAGTATTTTCCCTCGGGACTGGAACGTCATGAGGCTCCTCACCAGCAAGTAAGATGCTTCAATGATGTCCCAGACAGCAGTGACCACACACGTAGCAATGACCCCACACGTAGCAATGACCCCACAGGTAGCAGTGACCACACACGTAGCAATGACCACACACGTAGCAGTGACCACACACGTAGCAGTGACCCCACACGTAGCAATGACCCCACAGGTAGCAGTGACCCCACACGTAGCAGTGACCACACACGTAGCAATGACCCCACACGTAGCAATGACCACACACGTAGCA